TTGTTCTATCTATCTATCTATCTATCTATCTATCTGTCTATTGTTCTATCATTCTGTCAATCATCCTATCCATCTATCGATCTGTTGTTCTATCTATCTATCTATCTATCTATCGTTCTGTCGTTCTGTCTATCATTCTGTCCATCTGTCGTTCTGTTGTTGTGACTGTCTGTCTATCATTGTATCATTCTATATCTGTTGTATCTGTATATCTGTCTACACTGAGATGTGGCTGACTTTTAGAAAGCGGTCTAAATGAAACCCACTGACTGACGAAATGTTAATTTTGCCATTCATTGATGTCTGTCATCATCTCAAAGTCGTCTTAAACATGTTAGTCTCATTGGCCTCTTCTTTGATGATGGATAGTCACGTCTGGTATCTGTGAAATGAAGGTCACTACAACCTCAGTGTAGTTCATCAGTTCGGTGCTGAAAGATAAAAGGGCAGAAGTCAGAGTTCATGGACTGGTATTTCTCAGAGATGGCCTGTTTGATTACATTAATGAAGTTTGCTGGTCCAGGTTATGTGTACTTCACCGACTGGAGGCTGGGTGGAATCGTGAGGGTCCGTAAAACAGACGGAGGGGAGATGATGATCATACGCCGAGGGATCAGCCACATCATGCATGTCAAATCCTTCAACGCTGACTCGCAGATTGGTGAGACTCACTTTCTATTGATTCATTTACTTTACTCATTTCTGCATTGAATGTAATGCCTCCACAAAGGTATTAGGGTTTGTAAAGGCCATTTAATCAAATACAGCAAATGAATCAAACGTGTTTGCAATATAACTCTTTTTTTACTCCCAACAGGATCTAACTTCTGCAACAGGCAAACAAACCCAAATGGAGACTGCAGTCATTTCTGTTTCCCAGCGCCGTACTCCCAGCGAGTGTGTGGCTGTCCATATGGAATGAAGCTGGAAGCGAATCAGCAGACTTGTGTGGACGATCCATCCAATGAGCCACCGACCCTCCAGTGTGGCTCTAACTCCTTCTCGTGCACTAACGGGAAGTGTGTCTCCCAGAGCTACCAATGTGACGGCGTCGATGACTGCCACGACAACAGCGACGAGGCCAACTGCGGCGCTAATAGTAATGTTTTACTTTATATTTCATGCAAATATTCATGTGCTGATAGATAGTAATGAGCAATCGCAAGGACATTATTTTCATTACTTGGGTCACTTTTTCAAAACTCTCTACACAGGTACACTTACCAACTTTCAGCTTGGCACAGCATTAAAAATGCACTAAAACCACCAAAACACTTCATACTAGACAATAAAAATAAATACAACCCAAGCAAATTACATTTGCATCATGCAGTTACATCGTATCATGTATGCTCAGAGAATCAAAACCCATGATCATGGCATTGCTAGTGCCATGCTCTACTCTTTGAGTTAAAATAATGCATGCATTTCTATGAGATTTTTTAAAGTCTTTTCCCACTTACCATGAAAATAAGCATGTTCATTTTTTCCTCACTCTGCTGGCTCACAGATAACACATGCTCGCCCATTGCCTTCACCTGTGCCAATCAGCGCTGTGTGCCCAGAAGCTGGCACTGCGACGGACACAATGACTGTTTTGATGGCAGTGATGAGAGGGACTGTCCCACCCAGACCCCTGGCACTTGCCAGGCCGACCAGTTCAGCTGTGCCAACCATCACTGCATCCCCCGCACATGGCTCTGTGACACCGACAATGACTGCGGAGACGGATCTGATGAGAACAACTGCGGTGAGACATAGGGATATTATAGTTAACTAAAACTAAAACCATTAAAAACATTTTCGTAATTTGAAATCAATTTAAATATAAAAATGTTACAACAGCTACAACATTTTTCATTCTCGTTTTGTTTTGTAACTTGAAGTACTAAAATAACTAACACTAAATAAATTAAAATTAATAAATAACTAAAAATAAAAACTATATTTAAATTTAAGTTAAAACCGTAAAAAATACGGTAGCAACGTTTTAGGTTTTACGGTTTTAACTTAAATTTACAGTTAAATACCGTAATTTCATTAACTGATATAATGTTAATTAAT